TGACCAAAATTGTCTATGTGACAATAGTGTTAAAATAAATATCAACTTAATTTGTATTTTTTATGTAAATTAATTATAAAAAATATATTTATTACATTTTTAACATATATCTTAAAAGTATAAATTAAATATATATATATATATATATCTTATATATAATTAAAGCTATTTATGAGTTGAGTATCTAAATATATATCTTATATATAATTAAATCTATTTATGAGTTGAGTATCTAAATATTTGTGCTCAAGCTCACCTAAAAAATTTGAATGCGAATATTTCGACGAGCTCTAAATAGTTGAGCTCATGTCCAAAGTCATGCATATTCAAGTGATTTCGAGCATAAGCTCAATTACTCGAAGCGAAAATTTTAGCTTGAATTCGAGTTTTTTTTTTCTATAATTTTAAATGATTCTAATAACCAATCATTCAATCATAAATATGTCTACATTTTTCATAATCCCTTTTATTAAAGGGTTTTTTAACTTGTATTAAGGGTGTATTAACTATACTATTTTTATTAATTATTATAAAAAAATAAAATTTTAATCTAATTTTATTATCTACTTAATTAAAATCATGCATGTATCATTTTGTTAAAAATAAAATTAATTTTAATTTGTTTATACAAATTAATAAAAAAATATGTAATTAATATGTAAATTAGAACACAAGTTTGACAATTATTTTATAAAATTATTTATATATTTTTATATGTTAACATTATAGTAAAAAATATTAAAATATTAAAATAATATTTTTAATATTTATTTTTTCTAATCTAAATTTTAAATTATAAATTTTTATTACCACACTTAAAAAAATTTTGTTTAACTTTCCTTGTATAGAATCATTTGACAATTTTTTAACTAAATTTTTTTATTTTAATTTCTTATTAAATATAAAAAATTAACTATTTAATAAAATTATATTATAAAATTTATTAACTTCTTTTAAAATATTTGTTAATTTTTCAATAAAAATTTTCTTAATAAAATTGATACTTTTATTAAAAAGACAAAAATGGGTTTATATACAAGAGAGATATATTTTATCAATGGCCTATTGATCTGAGTAGAATAAACTCGATTTTTTTTTAAATAAAATTTTAAATTTAAATCTTATGAATAGAAAATTAGACACCGAAAGACTTTTTTCCTAATAGAGTTTGATGCAGTTTCATTCCCTATTAATAAAAAATCAATCTGATTACCGAATAGTAAAAAAAAGTTAATAAAAAAAAATAAGACATGTTTTAAATTTCACGAAAAGGAAGGAAGCAGACAGTGCCACGTAAGGTGGGTAGAAACGAGGCGCCTCTAGACGTACACGCGTTCCAAAGAGGATGGCTCAGCTTCGAAGCTTCGTACACGTGTGGTTTGTCTGAAAATTTTGACTGGGTCCCGCTTTGTTTAGGAATCTTTCAGTTACAAGGGCCTATCATCAATCCACGTCTGGCCCGATCCCACGATCCGGCCTAGTGGGAGTGGCTAAAGCTACTGGCTGCTGGAATGACTTTCCCGAATTGCATGTTCTAATCTCATTGAATTCCCTTCCCCTACCCCTTAAAGTAACACACCTAAATACGTAGCTACCTCCCTCATATTAATTTTACTTATTACATTTTTATTTAAAAAAAATTTATTTCATGATTTATTTATTTATTTTTAATGAATTACAATTTTAGAAAGAGAGATTTGGATTTTATCCTTAGGTTATAATTTTAGAAGAAAGGAATTTGAACTCTAATCATAGAGTTAAGAAATGTATTTTATGATTAAATATATAATTATTGGATTATGAAATCTATATGTTATTTCATAATTTATTTTGTATTAAACTATAACATATAAATTATTAAATAAAATAATAATATTTAATATTAAAGAATTTACTCCTAATAAATTAATTTAATATAATTTAAATTATACAATAACTTTTTATTTACGTGATACAATTATAATAAAAATTATCAAAATCTTTTAAGGAAAAGCTTCTTATGTTCGTATTTCAGAAAAGGCTAAAACAAACAAACTTGATCTTAATTAAATGCATTTGTATACATGGGCTTGTAGCATTTTGGGCACCTTTATCCACACCCCACTTATTATTATTATTTTTAATATTAAAAAATAAATTTTTAATACTATAATTAAAAAATTGTAATTAATAAATATTAATTTAACTAAATTCTTGTATATGAGCTTTCAGATCCAGTAACGTCAAGCCACATATAAGTGTATTTTTTCACTTTAAGGACAACAGTTCGAACTCGACTTCTTAAAAACCTGTTAAAAAGAAAAAACTAAATTCTTATTAATTTAACTTATTATTAATAATACTCTATGAAAAGACTATTTCGTTAAAAAAAAGGTCGAAATACAATGGATAAGAATCCGACCGGTCCTTTTGACGAGTGTCCATGAGAGCTACACTGCCTTTCAAGAAGAATCTCATGGGCAGACGACTACAGGATTACGTTGCTGTTGTACAGTCAAAAGCCAATGTATCTTCCACCTTCTTTCCCATTTCGCATTTTCCAAATTACCAGCCCCCTCCCCTTAATCTTTGTAATACAATAATATTATTTTTTTAACAAATTACAATCAAACCTACCATACTAAAGGAGAATAAGAAATGGGATTACTAGAGACTCAAATTTTCAATTAAAGAGGTGTTTCCATAAATAATCAAGTGATAAATCATTTACTCTATATGTCAAGAACAATACTATTTTTCATTTATTACCGTAAAAAAAAATTCTTAGATAAATAAAAAGGGTAATTATTACTTCCTTTTTGCATTTTAGTTGTCTATTTTCATTTTAAATGAATTATTAAAGTTTATTCTTTCTAACCACATGTGTATTGTAATTCAATTATAATATCATTTAAAATTATAAATTTATAATCATAATGTGTTATTAAATAAATAAATATATTTAATTATCAATAGTAAATTTCCAAATAAAAAAATTTAGTTACATAATAATATATCAATCATGATAATAAATTTAGAATATCATATAATATTATAATAATTAGATTATATTCAATTATCATTTTATAATGCTTCTTTTAACAAAACTTAATAATTAGGTAGAAGTCATGGCCATCAATTTTAGTTTGCAGTTGGGGAGGGAATTTGGCTGCAAGGATATGCACTAGTGGGAATCAGATGGTATGCAGGCAGTAAACATAGCTGTTCCAACTGAAGACTGCTATTTGCAATACGAAGCAATAGTTGCTGACTTGCGTGTTAGAGCTTGTTTATATTGATTCTTGTCTTTTTTCTTTTGTTAGAAGGGATATCAATACTTAACTCCCCATGTGGCTTAACGGACGGATCATGCTACTCTACGAGTAATAAGTGGAGTTCGTTCGATTCTTGACTCGATTTTGATTTTTGAACAGATATTAACTCACTAATCCAATAGTTTCCTGGTAAAAAAATAAAGAAAAAGATATCAATACTTTAGCCCACAGGTTATCACAACTGCCTTCACCGTCTGATATCATTATTTGAGCAATAATAGTATATTTTATCAAAAGAATAATTACGTTTCAATCTCCTTATTATTTGAGTTCCACTTGAGATATGTTTGAATTTTTTAAAAAAATTATCACTCTTTTTTTTTTCTTCAATTTCCCTCAAACTAGTTATACTCTAAATGTAAAATAAAAAATTTTAAATTATAATAATTGTGTTTTTTTATAAAATTTGATAATATTTTTTGTGAACTTATGATATGTTTGGCTAAAAATTAATAAAAGAAAGTGAAAGAAAAGGAGGAGAAGGGAAGAGAAAGGAAGGGAAGAAAAGCAAAGAATTAGTAGTAATTTTATTTGGATAGATTAAAAAAGAAGAAAGACAGAGATGTGGATAAATTAAAAATGAGGAAAAAGAAGGAAAAGAAAAATTTAACTTTTTTATTCAATTAAATAAATTAAAGAAAAATAATTATCAAAATAAAATTTTATAAATTTATATATTAAAATTAAAGCTAAAATAAAAATTTTAATTACATTTTTTAGAAACAAAATAAAAAATAAAATAAAAGTAAATTGAGTAATTTCAAATCCCTAAATTAGAGAAATTAAAAATAAGAGATTTAGAGGAAGTTTATTCTCCCTTTATTTATCTCTCTTATTGTCCCCTTTAATTAATGACTTTATCCAAATAAAAGAACAAAAAAATCTTTCCTTTACTTCCCTCTCTGAAACTCCTCTATCCAAACATAAGGTTACAAAAAAGGTTAGAAAACTAGAAAGGGTATTATTGAAAATATGGGACATTACTTGAAAATAATCTCTCCGCTCTCTCCTATAAATTCAAATACAAAACCCAAATCCATATTCATCTACCTCCTTAGTATACATAGCCATCCCAAAGATCATTAGTCCTCCATTAAGTTCTCTCAAAACCCATTACCAAAACTTCCTCTTTTTTTTTTCTTTTAAATCTTTACAATCATAGATACAATTCAAAATACATATAATTAACAGCATCATCAACAATGATGGTGTTCTCAGAACCAGCAATCGAACAGTTCTCAAGTTTCATAAACTGCAGACCCACCACATTGTTCCCTCAGATTCCCATCGTGGACTTGTCCAAACCTGAATCCAAGCACCTCATCATTAAAGCCTGTGAGGAATTTGGGTTTTTCAAGGTTATCAACCATGGAGTCCCGGTGGAGTTCATTTCCAAGTTGGAATCTGAAGCTGCCAGATTCTTCTCCCTCCCACTTCCTGAAAAAGAGAAAGCAGGGCCTCCTAAGCCTTTTGGTTATGGCAACAAAAGCATTGGACAGAGTGGAGACGTTGGGTGGGTCGAATATCTCCTCCTCAAAACCAATCAAGAATCAGATTCTCAAACCTTTGGGTATGTATTTTTTTCTCAGCACTCTGTTTTTAAATCCATTTCTATTGTTGGGTGTTTCTGAATTTTATTTGGGATGTTATTTCAGGTCTGCTTTGAATGATTATATGTCTGCAGTGAAGAAAATGGCATGTGAGGTCCTTGAAATAATGGCTGATGGATTGAAGGTTCAACCAAGGAATGTGTTGAGTAAGTTGTTGATGGATGAACAGAGTGACTCTGTTTTCAGGCTCAACCATTACCCTCCTTGCCCTCAAGTTCAGCCTCTGAATGGAAGCGATGTGATTGGGTTTGGTGAGCACACAGACCCACAAATCATTTCTGTGTTGAGATCCAACAACACTTCTGGCCTCCAAATCTCCCTTAGAGATGGCAGCTGGGTATCAGTTCCTCCTGACCAAAACTCTTTCTTCATCAATGTTGGTGACTCCTTACAGGTACAGAATAACAAACAATACCCCCCCCCCAATCTAATTCATTATTCATAAATAATTCCAAAATGTTTTGAGGTATAATGTTTTTCCTACCACGTTTTGTTTGAGGTATAATCAAACCAGTTGATGAATGAATGAATTAGCAAGCATGTGCCACTTGTTTGATGGCACCCAACATTGTACAAAACATTTATGAAAAAAAGACCTGATTCATTATCAAAACCAAATTAGTCATGGGTGAGATTTTTTGACTTAATAGATAAGATAAAAGATTGCTTTTACCATAAATAGGTATCCATCCTATTGGATCAACTTGCAAAACCTTTTTACAAAATGAGCATTCTGCTGGTTTTGAATTGATTTTGTTTTTTAGAGTTTTGAGTAGTAGTTATGTCTATTATATCTTTTTTGTATTGTCCCCACTAATAAATCTTTTCATGGGTACCTACTTAGCTGTATGAGCTTTATATAGTATCACATTATCACAATAAAGGACGAAAAAAAGGGCCATTCAATTGTACTCTTTATGATGCATGGATGATTTTACCTCTCACTTACCATTGATTGATTTTCATTCCCTCCTTTATAGGTAATGACTAATGGAAGGTTCAAAAGTGTCAAGCATAGGGTATTGACCAACAGCTCCAAATCCAGGCTTTCAATGATCTATTTCTGTGGTCCTCCTTTGAGTGAGAAAATAGCTCCATTGCCTTCCCTCATGAGAGGAGAAGAAAGCTTGTACAAGGAATTTACATGGTTTGAGTACAAAAAATCTGCATTCAATTCAAAATTGGCAGACAACAGGCTGATGCATTTTCAGAGAATAGAAGCTTTATGATGATGATTTTGGGGGTGTATAAAGGACTTTAATCCTGAAATACTATTAAAAAGTAGGAATAATTTTTCCCACTGATGGAAAATTATAAAAAATACTGTTTGAGGTTTTCTCTTCTTTGACTTTCTGTTTTTCTTCTCCTCCATTCCTTGTACCTACCACCATCTCGATGTCTTTGTTAATTATACAAGAAGAAAGTTGGCATGAGCGGACATGAACATTCATGTCTGCATGAGTCAGCTTTTTGTAAGTCCAAACAGCTTTTTCCATGTTTATCTTCTTGGTCTACTAAACTCTCCCATCTGTATTATTAACTTTTTTAAGATTCATTCTTATCCATCAGATTTTTAAATGATGGCGTAGTGAATATTCTCCCAATCTAGCAAGAAGCTTCATTTTCTTCTTTAAATTGTCACGTGTCAAAAAAAAAAAAAACAGTAATCTAACTGTTCCTTTAGCATGGGGACAGCACAGGTCTGGTTTTAAGGTTCAGACTTTCTAGGAAGCAAGACTTTCAGATATAAATTAAGATTATTATTAAAGGCTCAAATTTATGTTACATAAGAATTTAACTTCAGTCCGAAAGGAATTGATGTTACATAAGAGAGATGGGAAATGATTAGCTTAAACAAGAAATATGAAAACAAAAAAATAGAGAGAGAGAGAGGAAGCTTGAGGAAGGAGGGAGAGGGAAAGTTTTTAACTTTACATTTCTGTATTGGGTTCATTAGACTAAAGCAACTCACCCTCTGCAAATATGTGAAACTAAAGAAGAGAGTAATAAAATTACATCAAAAAAAAAGAAGAGAGTAATAAAATCAATAAGGGGCAAATTAGTCATTCAAATTAAATTAACTGTGTGGACTTCAGCAATCAAGGAATCTTTTTGAGGAAAAAGAGAATTTTCTACTGGTTTTATCTTTTATGCCTACCAAAAAACTAAAAAAATTTCTACTGGTTTTAATGTGTACCTTTTTCTAAATTTTCTATTTTCTTGTTGCTTGAATGTGAGACTGTAAAACTGCTTTCTTTCATCTGGGTTTTGCTTATTTTATTGAAATCTTGGCGCTTTATATAATGTATTGTTGAAGGAAAATGACAGGCTTCTAGTTCCAGAGTTCTGTTGTAGAAGAATTTGTCCTGTTCTTCCTGTTCTAACTTTACCCCATGAAAATGCAAGATTAATGGGTATTTTTTTTTTAGCAATTTGGCAAGATGAAGGTCAAAATGTTAAATTAGATTAGAAGTATGCTAGAATGGATTCCTTTAAAATTTAATTTCTTGTTTAATAATGGGAATTGTTCAGGTGGGAGAAACTTTAAGTTCTTCTTATTGGCTATTATTGGGCTTTTCGTTTTGAATATGTATCTCCACGATTTTGCTGCTTAGGGTGAGTGCTTAAATGGTTCACCTAAAAGTTTCAGGGGGGAATTTTTAATCAACTGGAAAAGAAAATCAAGTCAGATTAATTGATTTTTCCTTTCTCTCTTTTCTCCCCTTACCACCACACTTTTTGAAATTTGACTGTGATGTCTTCACTAGATTGTGTGGCCTTTTTCTCCCTCTTGAGTTTGAAGCAAATGCTGGTGTATAGATAAGATCATCAATTATGTAAGTTGCTGTTCAAGCTGCAAACGGTTGTCAGTACTGCTGTGCAGGAATCAGATAAATTTTTATTCCCTTGATTAAACCAACTGGAGAATGAGGATTCATGGCTGACCCAGCAACTGCAGTGAGCATGTTGCACTGCCCCGTGGCTGCAATCGTTTTTTCCCCTTTATTCACTTTGAGATTGGTAAGAGATAATCTGTTTTTCTGTTCAAGGCAAATTTTGTTGGTTTAAAAAGTATGTTGGATGAATTCATTTTCAGCAGAGCAGGATTTTTATGTTGTAATTCATCTTGCTGGTCAATGACTGGCTCTGCCGCAGTTAAATAGTAATGACTGCTGTATTAATTCAAAACGGAGGAATGCTGATGGCATTAATGTGTATCTTTATGAACAAAATGCAAGGAATACCGTGAATGAGGGTAATAAGCATCAAGGCCGACTTGGGAACCCGTCAGAACCAAGAAGCAGTCATGAACGTTCAAGCTCATCATATTTGGAAAAAACTGGAGCAGTTGTGCATGGAACTGAAAGCAATTTTATTCTGAAAGAAGGAAATTTAGTTCACGGTGAAAGAAAGTACTTTTGATGATGAAACAATGGAATTGAGCTGTTATAGTTCCATCATTTCCCTCAGTAAAAATTGTTGCTTAGGGTAACATTAATGTTTTATTTAGTGTCTCAAGTACATAAAAAGCTCTACTCTCAAGTGTTTCTCATCTAGAGTCTAGATTAACAGTTACAAGACACTTCAAACTTTCTGCAGTTCACATGTCAAACAAAAACCATATCTCATTCACCCTATTCTCAAACTCAAACGGAGAATTATACTGAGCAACCGTATAACCAGAAGTAGCACCAGCTCCTTGGCTTTTTGCAATAGCATCGCCCCACACGGTGCCTGCAAGACTGGCCTGTAAGGCAGCAGCTTCTTCTCCAACGTTTGAGTCTGTTACGAACCCACTGAACTGCCTCACAGCTGCAAATATTGGTTTCCAGCTTCGGACATGTAGGCCTTCTGCCGGAGGTGGGTTAGCCTGGTTCTGCTTGGGGATGTAAAAGCTGATGCTGAATGTTGACTCACACAGGGGTCCGTCACCTGGTGACACCTTGGTGAGTACTGGAGCCGTCATCTCTATCTCTTGCTGGTACTTGTTGTTTCCTTGAATGTAATCAAATAACCTGCCAGAGGAAGCAAAACAAAGCTTCTCATCTACAAAATACTCAACTTGTTTGATGTTGAATCCATATCAATTCACGCATTAGTAAAATCAATCTCATTGATGTTATATATGATGTGCTATTTGGTTGGGGGATTCCCCTTACAGGATTATTAAGGTATTTTCAAATTTTCATACCATAACAAATGAAATATAAAAGTAATATTTTTATTTTTTATTTTTCCCACATAATTCTTATTCGGTAAACTTTTCTTTCAAAAGAAAAAAGAGATTTTCCTCCAAAATTTTTTATGTGAAAGGTACTATACAACTCTTTTATTAGTTTTTTTTATATCAATTTCATATCAAACATACCAAATTTAATAACTTAATAAAATTGTAACTATACTTCTTATATACAGTATTTTCCCGATCACTATTTGAAGTGGTCTATAACCAAACAAGCCCTTATCATTAATAAGAACAGAACAAGACTAAAAATTAAAGTCTAGATTTGTTTTTAGAAAAAAAGAAGAAAAAAAAGTTGAAAACCTTACTGAAGAAAGCCTTGTCTGGTGGCCTGAACCAGGGAAATTTCTTGAATAGGAGAAGTTTCTATCCATTCTGTATGATTATATCTTCGAATTTCAAAACCACTGTCCTGATGGATAATCTCAAAATTGGGGCACTCGATGCGGGTGCAGGTAGGGGGAAATAACCCATCGTCAACGATGTTCTTGCCGACTCCCGGAAGCGGCAGCAGAGCAGAGTTGAGGTTGGACAGCAGACTCAGGAGAAGGGATAGCTTAAATATGGTAAGTGCCGCCATGGTGAAGTTTTTGCCTAAGCAGATGCGGTATCTTTGTGTGGTGTTATATCCTGTGCCATCGTACGGAAAGAGTTTGGCAAGAAAGGATTATCTCAAAAAAAAATATATATATCTGCTATCGTGTTTTCTTAGCCGCCACACATTTTATGAGGAAAACATAATTTGGACGAAAACGAAAATTTGGAAAGGTTTGGAAGCCATTGAACTTTCAAAAGTAATTTATTAATGGCTTAAATATTATATAAGGTCTCAAACTTTCATTAAATTTGCAATTGAGGACTTGATTACTCAAATTTCATGGGTTGAGGA